ATAATTAAATTAAATTAAATAAAAACACCTTTATAATTAATTCATATTTAGATTTAAAAAAATAGTTAAGTTTATACAGACATAGAAGATAGACTTAGATATTTATCTAATTTGAAAATTAGAACAACAGAATGGCATTGATAATTATTCATAATAAATAAACTATTCATATATAAATTATTAAACCTGGACCATCGGCGAATATGAAACATTTTCTATCGCATAGATTACGAAAAAAATGGTTGAAGATCAATATGACACAATTTAAAGGATTATGTGACATTTCTTCTAAATCATGATCAATGATAATTAAAAATTTATTTGACATAGATTTGAATCTTAATATTAGGTATATGTTACAAAAGCAGAAATCTATGATTTATTAGAAAAAAAAAAGTTGATTAATTTGAAGAATATTTAGTTAATAAGAAAAAGTGTTATTCTTTTTTGTATCATTTAATTGAGCATTTATGAACACAGAAAAGTAATAAAATAAAAATTATTTATTTACATTATGGGTGATATTGGAGTAAAAAAATTTATAATAGAAATCAAATCAATATTTTGGATTCTTAAGCTAATTGGTTGTTGAGATATTAGGAGATCTTATTCTTAAAGATTTTTCTGGTAGATGAACATACATTATACAAGAAATCATTCAAGAATATTAGTTTTAGAAAATATCTGATTCTCATACTACTGAATTGCAATATCACAGAAATAAAAAAGTCTTTTTCTATAGAGTTTAAAACAAAATATTGATAATAATTCCCACTGATTTATATGAACTTATGTTTCTAATTACTTTAATAATAATCAGAAATATTTATTATAAATAATTATATTGATACTTTATTTATAGTAATAAAAAGAATAATAGAGAAAGTATTAGTATTATTTCAAAAGCTAATGATATTTAAATTTATAGAATTATAGTTTATGATATCTCTTATACAGAAACCTAGATTCTATTTATAAAAAATAATAAAAGATAATTTATGAATTTTATCCAATATTAATAAATTACAATAGTGTTCATTGAAAGGGGATAACTAATTTAAATTATGATATTATTAATTGATAATAACTATTTAAATAACCATTTCCACTTTATTATTATTTAAAAAGAAGACTATATATATTATAAGATAGCAAGAATTGGATATAAGTAAACCTTAAAGAAATTTGAGTTTGAATGAAAGATTTAATTTAGATGAATATGATATTTTCTAATTTCATATTGAATTAAATAGAAAGAATATTGACAATTTATAAATTTCTAAGTATTTTTTCTCATAAAATTCCAATATTTATAATAAAAATTTGAAATATATATTGAGACTTAAAAAATGGAAAACAATCAATTTAAGTCTAGAAAGTCTTAATGAAAAATTCTTACAAGGAAATTTAGATTCTATCATGCTTTTAGTTTCATAACTTAAGATAATAAGTTAATAATAATGATTATTATAATATGCTATTTTAAGTTCAACTTTTCATGGATCTTAAAATTCTATATTAATGATTTCTTATTCTGTTTTTGCTTAATTATAAAGTATCTATTTTACTAAACAATTAGTGGCTGTTATAATTATTTTAAATTCTTGATTAACAGATTGTATTTAAGAGAACTTGGGAAAATAACTTATTAAATTAATTTGAGAGTGACATTAATGATTAAATTGATAATTCTTCCCATAAGAAGAACAAGAATTACATTTATTAAATTTAGATTTTACTCGTTTTCCTGTAATACAATTTATTTCAAGAGCAAAATTGATATTCTAAATAGGTTTATAGACCCTAGTGGAATATTCTCCAACAGCATTATATATTTAATTTGTTTGCAATATTTAAACAAAAAATGTAGGTCTATTGCTTTATGATCTATCTAACTTCTAACTGATTCTTAAAGTAAAGCATTCTAATGCATAATTTTTTATCAGTTAATATGACATCCATAAACTTTGAACTGTGTATTCAGATTAATCATGAGCTACCCCTTTGATTTTTGTATATAATTATTACAACTGAGAAATGAAAAAGTTGCTGTCGAAGCTCCAAATGTTTTTTACGCTTTAAATCTCATTTGTTGTATATATTCTAAATTCATTCCTTGAATTGGCATTATGAGCCATTTATTGGATTCCAAATTTATTGCATTACTTGTATAATCTAATTTAAATTTCACTAATCCAAGATCTATAATATCTCTTGAAGCTACTAATAAGATCTGGTATCCTATTTATTTCAAATTTTAGAATATTCCTGGTACTTAAGTTATAGCAACTGAGACAGTGTCTTTTGTTAATTAGGTTACCTATAATAAATATAACAAATAACCAATAGTTAGAATTCTATTTTTCCACTATAACCTAAACTTGTTAGTCCTATTATTGCAGCGTCGGCATTCAGTAATTGATGATTTAATACTTTATCCTAAGGTGGATCAATATTAAATGAATTAATCACTTAAACCCTCGAATCATCTAAGGCAATCCATTCATATCTGATGCTCCATATTAATCCAGCTCTTGGACATTTGACCAAAAAAGAAAAATCTAATTTAATTATAGCATTACCATTCAAAGTTATGGATGTGATTGAAAATTAGTATTCTGATTATACATTAGATATATCAAAATAATCTTAAAACATAAATACTTAAGGAATATTTTGAAAAGCCCCTGAGAATGATATCGTTCTAGTTGTCTAAAAATTATTTTGACATGAAAAATCTGCTCCATTAGTCAATTAGTATTATCCTGAGTCACTAAAGATGAATGAAAAAGCTGAAATGGACAAAATAAACAATAGGAATAGAGTCATTTAGATTTATTAAGTTATTATTAATTTAATTATATTTTTTTTCTAAATTTTTTTAAATATAGAAAATTGGATTCAATCTATTATTTTTGAACCGATATCATCAATAAATTGAATGTTAATAGGTAATTTGTATTATTTAGAAATACTAATGAAAAAGTAAATACTAAATTTAAAATCTTTATATTGTAATTAAATTCTTTAATTAAATTTTAAGAGCATAATTAATATATTAGGATCTTTGATGATTAACCTTAGAGGCTTTATGATCATTTCTTAGATGATAGATTGAACTAATTTTCAAACTTTAGATCTGTGATAAATTAAAAATTGCTTATAAAAAATTCAAAAAAGAAAATAAAATATTATATTTGATTTTAATTTATCCTTTAATAATATAAAATATTTAAAGAAAATGTTACTTAATTTTCATATTGAATATATATATAACCAAATTTTTACAATAATTAAATTCTGAATTAGTATTAGAAGATATAAATATAAACAAATTCTATAAATCTATTTTAGGATAGTAGAATAATCTAAGGAAATCCATAAATGCAAGGTTGATAACAAATTATTAATAAACTGAATCAAATTTATAGACGTAAAGATCCTTACATCCTCTTTAATACATAATTCCCCAATAAGGTTGGAATACAAACATATGGTTACCAATAAAACTCAAACTGGTTCCACCTTTATTTGTATCAATTTATTAGATAACTTCACAATTGTTTTTGTTAGAACCTTCCTTAATATCTTTTATTTATATTTCATACAAAGGTATAGTTTATTTACTTCTTAATTAATTATTAATCCATAAATACTATTTTGAATGTTCATCAATAATGTATTAGCAAATATAACATAAAGATTTATCAATACTCCATCCATGCTGTAATAATTTATTCTCTACTTATTATAAAATCCCCTGTAATTAATAAACCAAATTTGTAAAACAGTTGAATTTTGCTTTTAAACATCCTTGATGAAATTAAAATATTAATGCTTTTAATTATAGTGATTCATAATCTAAACAGTTTTAATGTCATAGTTGCATTCAAATTAATAATATAATATCAAAATAAAGCATTTCTAAAATTACTTTAATTTTTGATATTTTTCATCTTATTATTTAATAATTTTTACAGTAAAAGCATTAATATTAATAATAAATACGGTAGTTTACAAAATAAAAAATATACCTTTATGATAATTTGTACAAGTAATAGGACAAAAAAAGAATATTGATGATATTCATCTTCAAATATTAAATTTCCATCATCAATTGTTTGTAAATCTCCAAAAATATGTTAAGATTTCCAAATACTATATGAAAATCCAGAATCAGAAGAATTACCTTTGTTTGTATGTGCCATCATTATTCATGATTAATTCAAATTTCATAACATGCACTTAATGATATATTTTGGTAATCGATTATTATTATTTTTATAAATACTTGTATTAATTCTTAATAATCAAGTTGGCCCAATACATTCTCAACTATTGTTATTTTAATCGTACATGATTTATCCTTTCATGGGCTTTTTCGTATTTTCCCACTTAATAATTTGAACTATAAAATTATTACTTGATTATTTTCAATTTTATATATAAATAATCCATCAGATAGGAACGCTGATAAAGTACATAAAAGGCAATAGTGATAATAGTTTTTATAAGTATCAATGATATTAAGAATCCTTAAAAATTTAGTCTGTAAGACCCTCTAAACATTTGTTGTTTATTGAAATATTAATAATATATATAATAATAAATAATAATATATATATCTATTCCTTTAATAAAATTCTTATTATTTAGAAATTAGTGTAGAATGCGAATGGTATAAAAAATTTACTATCAATTTTTATAATCAGGATCAATAGTAAAATTTTAAGTAAACCAAATATTTAGAATCTAAATATAAAATGATACGGGGTGGGTTCATAATCAAAATTTAAAAAATAAGATATATTGAATTTTAATATGGTTGATCACATTTGCTTATGTAAATACATCGGAATTAGGCTAAAATAATAATATTATCCTTATAATTAACGTATCCACTTGAAAAAATTTTAATTTCTATGATTTAATTACTATAAAAATATTTGTTTTTTTACCCTACAAAATTAAGATTATTAAGAACAATATACTGATGTTATATCAGTAAATTATAATCTCCATCCTGCTGTGTAATCTCTAATTTATAATAAATTGATTTTTATGTATAATTTCCTTGTTTAATTGAAGTATAAATTAATTATGCTAAAGGTTTATTAGAAAATAAAATTATGTGTTTAATTGCCTGATGCATCTCTATAAATAGAAAAGTTTTCCCAGATTCTAGAATAGTTGAAAATGTATCTAAATGTTCAGGTCATATATAATAAACCAAAATAATTGATATAAAATCTTCTTAAAATTATATNTTTATCAATACTCCATCCATGCTGTAATAATTTATTCTCTACTTATTATAAAATCCCCTGTAATTAATAAACCAAATTTGTAAAACAGTTGAATTTTGCTTTTAAACATCCTTGATGAAATTAAAATATTAATGCTTTTAATTATAGTGATTCATAATCTAAACAGTTTTAATGTCATAGTTGCATTCAAATTAATAATATAATATCAAAATAAAGCATTTCTAAAATTACTTTAATTTTTGATATTTTTCATCTTATTATTTAATAATTTTTACAGTAAAAGCATTAATATTAATAATAAATACGGTAGTTTACAAAATAAAAAATATACCTTTATGATAATTTGTACAAGTAATAGGACAAAAAAAGAATATTGATGATATTCATCTTCAAATATTAAATTTCCATCATCAATTGTTTGTAAATCTCCAAAAATATGTTAAGATTTCCAAATACTATATGAAAATCCAGAATCAGAAGAATTACCTTTGTTTGTATGTGCCATCATTATTCATGATTAATTCAAATTTCATAACATGCACTTAATGATATATTTTGGTAATCGATTATTATTATTTTTATAAATACTTGTATTAATTCTTAATAATCAAGTTGGCCCAATACATTCTCAACTATTGTTATTTTAATCGTACATGATTTATCCTTTCATGGGCTTTTTCGTATTTTCCCACTTAATAATTTGAACTATAAAATTATTACTTGATTATTTTCAATTTTATATATAAATAATCCATCAGATAGGAACGCTGATAAAGTACATAAAAGGCAATAGTGATAATAGTTTTTATAAGTATCAATGATATTAAGAATCCTTAAAAATTTAGTCTGTAAGACCCTCTAAACATTTGTTGTTTATTGAAATATTAATAATATATATAATAATAAATAATAATATATATATCTATTCCTTTAATAAAATTCTTATTATTTAGAAATTAGTGTAGAATGCGAATGGTATAAAAAATTTACTATCAATTTTTATAATCAGGATCAATAGTAAAATTTTAAGTAAACCAAATATTTAGAATCTAAATATAAAATGATACGGGGTGGGTTCATAATCAAAATTTAAAAAATAAGATATATTGAATTTTAATATGGTTGATCACATTTGCTTATGTAAATACATCGGAATTAGGCTAAAATAATAATATTATCCTTATAATTAACGTATCCACTTGAAAAAATTTTAATTTCTATGATTTAATTACTATAAAAATATTTGTTTTTTTACCCTACAAAATTAAGATTATTAAGAACAATATACTGATGTTATATCAGTAAATTATAATCTCCATCCTGCTGTGTAATCTCTAATTTATAATAAATTGATTTTTATGTATAATTTCCTTGTTTAATTGAAGTATAAATTAATTATGCTAAAGGTTTATTAGAAAATAAAATTATGTGTTTAATTGCCTGATGCATCTCTATAAATAGAAAAGTTTTCCCAGATTCTAGAATAGTTGAAAATGTATCTAAATGTTCAGGTCATATATAATAAACCAAAATAATTGATATAAAATCTTCTTAAAATTATATAGTTAAAGATTTATCAATTACATTAAGCCAACAAGTATAAAAAGAATAGAAATATTAATTATTTAAAATTAAATAAATTACGAATTAATGAATTCAAATAATAGCATTAAAAAAAAAATGAAATAATAAATTATTATATTTAGAAAATATCACTTATGAAGTTTCAGATATTTATTTGACTTTAATTATATTATTATAAACAATAAATAATAAAACTTCATTCAATTTTTTTGTATTTTCAATATTCCAATATAATGTCATTTTATAAGGGTCTAATAATCTTGCTTAATAATTTTTAGCTATCCAAACTTTTCACATTAACTTAAACTGTTCTTTCATAATTGATTTCTTTTAATAATATTTTTATTATTCATAGATTATTATTTCATTGTGAAGATAATCTTCTCCCTATTTAATATCATATATATGTAAATTTTTAGTAATACTATTTATTTAAATTAAGTAGATTATAAATATAATTTAAAAGAGTAATTTTTTAAGAATAGACATCAAATATTTCATTTAATTTAAATTAAAAATATCATTTAGAATTAGTGCTATTTAATTTTCATTATTTATATTAATAAATAATTCATCATGATGAAAAATTAAGATTAATCTATAAAATTAAATATATATATTTAACTCTTTGTTTATCATAAGAATTTTAAGATTAAGGGCAAAAGAATTTAATATTAAGAATTGACAAAACTAATCATGTTAAATTGGCAAGAAAATAACAATATTATTATAAATAAAAAATGATCCAAATAAATAAATTTAATCATAATCATTTAAAGGCAAAGAATTTAATTAAGCAAGATGAAATTATAAAGAGTTTTTAATCTATTTAGTTTTCAATTCTACTATTTATTAATCTAAATTAAATTTTTTTTCCTATTTTTAATTTAACTCTATCCTAAATTATTATTAGCATCTAAAACTCATTTACTATAACTAAATAAAAATTCAAATACAAAAAAGTTCGATTATTAATGCATAATCTATAACTAAATCTTCTGAAAACATCATTCATAAATTTTTCAATTAATTTAAGTAATTTAATTAGAATATATAAGAAAAAAGATAGTATTAATAAATAAAAGAATTTCTTTAATGTAATAAAACTATATTGTTATATAATTTTTAAAAGTGATTTAAAGTGCTAGTCATGAATAATTAATCAAAAACATTTTTAATATTATTACAACTATTTTGTATATTTACAAATATCCACAACTTATTTTTTTTTTAAATATGGACTTAAAAATTCAACTATTATTTTTTTTGTTGTTTTTCCTCATTCTTTGCTCTTTTTTAAATAATCTAAGTTCTGCTTTTACAATTCTTTAATTTAAATTGAAAAATCATAAGCAAGCTTTATCTAATTTATATGTGGATAAGAAAAAAATTTTAATTAGAAGTAATATTTTCAATGTTATTTTTGATTATGATTTATTTATATTCCTTTTGAGAATCATAGTTAACTCTCAATTTAATTTATTATGATTGTATTGATGATTCTTTAAAGAAAATCTCAAAAACAATAGCATTTATTGATAATAATAATGTGTAACATTCATTTACAATAGATTTAGATTCATTTGAGTATGAAAATATTTGGTATTATTTTTAAATTTTACAATGGCCTTTTTAAGAAAGATTTGAATTAATTTTTATTTATTAATAGAAAACTATTCGAGAAAACTTAAAAATTACACAACCTTTTAAAAATCAAAGTTTAATGTTAATTTTTGGGGGTGGCATGNTATTAATAAATAATTCATCATGATGAAAAATTAAGATTAATCTATAAAATTAAATATATATATTTAACTCTTTGTTTATCATAAGAATTTTAAGATTAAGGGCAAAAGAATTTAATATTAAGAATTGACAAAACTAATCATGTTAAATTGGCAAGAAAATAACAATATTATTATAAATAAAAAATGATCCAAATAAATAAATTTAATCATAATCATTTAAAGGCAAAGAATTTAATTAAGCAAGATGAAATTATAAAGAGTTTTTAATCTATTTAGTTTTCAATTCTACTATTTATTAATCTAAATTAAATTTTTTTTCCTATTTTTAATTTAACTCTATCCTAAATTATTATTAGCATCTAAAACTCATTTACTATAACTAAATAAAAATTCAAATACAAAAAAGTTCGATTATTAATGCATAATCTATAACTAAATCTTCTGAAAACATCATTCATAAATTTTTCAATTAATTTAAGTAATTTAATTAGAATATATAAGAAAAAAGATAGTATTAATAAATAAAAGAATTTCTTTAATGTAATAAAACTATATTGTTATATAATTTTTAAAAGTGATTTAAAGTGCTAGTCATGAATAATTAATCAAAAACATTTTTAATATTATTACAACTATTTTGTATATTTACAAATATCCACAACTTATTTTTTTTTTAAATATGGACTTAAAAATTCAACTATTATTTTTTTTGTTGTTTTTCCTCATTCTTTGCTCTTTTTTAAATAATCTAAGTTCTGCTTTTACAATTCTTTAATTTAAATTGAAAAATCATAAGCAAGCTTTATCTAATTTATATGTGGATAAGAAAAAAATTTTAATTAGAAGTAATATTTTCAATGTTATTTTTGATTATGATTTATTTATATTCCTTTTGAGAATCATAGTTAACTCTCAATTTAATTTATTATGATTGTATTGATGATTCTTTAAAGAAAATCTCAAAAACAATAGCATTTATTGATAATAATAATGTGTAACATTCATTTACAATAGATTTAGATTCATTTGAGTATGAAAATATTTGGTATTATTTTTAAATTTTACAATGGCCTTTTTAAGAAAGATTTGAATTAATTTTTATTTATTAATAGAAAACTATTCGAGAAAACTTAAAAATTACACAACCTTTTAAAAATCAAAGTTTAATGTTAATTTTTGGGGGTGGCATGATAGTAAAACAATCTATGATTTCAACAATCACTTAAGGTACAAAATTTTCTTATTATCCTGGTAAAATGATATAAGTTGAATATGAATTTGGAGAGATATCTGTAGATGAAGATCAAGAAGAGTTGGCAAGAATGACTTTTGAACCATACAATTTATGTAATTGTATAATTAATAAGAAATTAAGAATAGAAGATAAATCTATGAAATATTTGGATAATTTAGTTTTTACTTCTGAGAATATTAATTGCAATTCTTTTGAATTATCAGGATGGTTAAAAATAACTGATATTATTAATTAGAGTTAAGATGAATTTATTTATCCTTTCCTAATTCTTTCATCGAATTTCAAAAATTCATTATCAAAAAGAACCTTATCTCCATTAACTTTGTCTTATAAAATTTCTGGAATAATAAATTAAATAATTATTACAACTTATAGCTACACATTTCTATCAGTAATTTCTGATGATTAATAATTAATAGAAAAAGAGTTTGATATTTAGAATAGTATAACTCTTTGGTAATAGTTAAAAATAAAGCTAGTTGATGATTAGTTGATAATTAATATTAGATTTTATGAAAACTATGATTTTTATGAATATAGTACCTATGAGAAAGTAAAGTAATTTAAGTGCACTTAATATAAACTTAAATATGGTAATATAAATTAATCTAAAACAAATTATTTAAATATTTTATTTAGGAATATATTATTTAATAATTGTGAAACAGATGATACATTATAAAGTTGTCATCATAGTTGTTTAGAATGTGATGGACCACCTTAGAATAATTGTTTATCTTGTAGTGATTTAAGAATCTATTTGCCTGAATTCAAAGCTTGTATATGTCCATTTAATACTATTGATAAAGAAAATTGTGTTACTTATAAAGATTCCAATTTAGAATTATCAAATTTAAAAAAGGTTATGTCTAAATGTAAATATGGTTATTTTGAATATGAAAATGATTGTATACGTTGGTAATTAAATATAATAAATATATATTAGTCCTTCAATAATTAATGATTAAGTTGCAACTTGTTAAGAATGTTTATAAAATCTTTAGGGATGGAATAAAGAACCTTATTGTCAAAATGATTTATACTTAAATTAAAACGGTGATGTTAAAACTAATTAATTCAATAGTGATTATATTTATTTTCTCTTTGATGGGATTGATTTAATTGAATGTTTAAAATGCAATAGTTCATATTCTTTTATTGTTGATGCTTATGATGTTTAGAGTGAAATAACTTTAAAATAACAAACTTTTTCATTTATAAAAGAACTTGATGGTTGTTTTAAATCTTTAAAAAATATTCATAGCTATTATTGTATTTAATGTTATTAATATTATTAATTGAAAAAGGCTAAATTTTAATTAAATTATATATTAATAAACGAATATTCTATTGAATAATTTGCTTGTTTGTCTTCAGAGTATTTAAATTCCTAAAGATAATATAAATTATGTCCTATTCTTAATTGTAAGTACTGCTTTGAATATTAATCTAATGATTTATCTAAATGCACTCTTTACAATAACTTTGATGATTTTGATATAGACTAAGAAATTAAAATTGGGTGTGCATTATGTGAAGATAATTTTATTTTTGACTTTGATATCGGAGTTTGTTTATTTAATACACCAAAAATATAAAATTGTTTGAAATCTTATATTTATGATGGTTAAGAAGTTTGTACAATATCATAGATTCATGATTTTTTATTGGCTCCTGAAATAATTAATTGCTAAGATCTTTGTCCTAATTGTTTACAATGTATTTAATCTCCAGAATTCACAGTTAAGTGTATTGTCTGTCAGATTGGGTATATTACATCTATTTCAACTGGAGGATGTTATTTGGCTGATGAATATAAATAATATGGAGCTAAAATAATAATTGAAGGAGTTTATTCAAAAATGGATGGATGGGTGTAAAGAATTTAGAGTTTTATGATGAAATTTCTACCAAATCAATATTTTTACTTTTAATCTAAATTTGATTAAGTACTCTCATAAATAGTAGTTGAATGTATAGAGGGTTATCGACTTTCTCCTTATTTTGGGTGTTTTAAGAATTGTGATCCTTTATGTTTAGATTGCAAATATAATACAATTCAAGGTTATTATTGTAATACTTGTCCTTTAAATTAATATTACTAACCTATTAGAAATGAAATTGATGGAAAATGTTTTCAATGTACCCAACTTTGTTAAGCTTGTTAAGGCAGAACAAATAATGAAATAATTGTAATTATTACATATATTTATTTTAAAGTAATCAACAAAATTTTATAATTGATGATAACAATTTAATTTTTACTAAAAAGTGTTTAAAAACTGTAAAACATCCTTAGATTTATTTGGATCCATATGATTAAATTGCTAAATATTGTTTTGATGAAAATTGTTCATCAATCTTCTAGTTTTAGAAGATAATTGAAGAATGCTATTTCTTTCATATAATGTGGGAAGAAGAATTGTATATAGAATATTTAAATAAATTGGGTATAGATAGTTTGATTGTTAGATTTACTTTTACTAGTACTTGGTATATATGTTAATATGCTAATTTTTTTATTGATAGTGGAATTACAATTTTTTTAAATTTTGTGATAAGAAATAGCACATTTTTACACTCATATGTCTTTTAATTTATCAATAATCAAGTTATTTTATCTGTAAAAAATCTTATTATAGAAGACTGTTTATTTACAAATTCAATTTTTTTTTTATTCGATTCAAATATTTAACAATTAAGTAAGATAGAATTTCATAATATCGTAATTAAACATAGTAAATTCATAAACTCTAGCTTTTTTAACTGCTAAAATTATGTTTCACTTTCTCTTGTTAACTTATAATTTCAAAATAATTCAGCACTTTATTCAAATATTTTTTTTTCTTCAAACTAAAAATTCTCACTATAATATTTTTAAGTCAAACAAAACCAATTCAAAGATTCCTAATTTATTTTTGTTATTGAGAAAAATGAGAATTTATAAAGTTTTTTAGTTTTTGATTAGTTTGAAGCTAATAACAATTAATTGTATAACTCTAAATTTTTGAGAATATAAACAAATATAGAATCTAGCCAAGTTGATTTAGTGATAACAAACTTAGTCTTTGATGAAATAGTAAATGTTAATAATTCAGATACTAATTAATATCTATTTAAAATTCGATGTTTTAAATTACAAATTTAAGATTTGATTTTTCGAAACCTAAAAAATCTTCTTATATTTAACATATTTGAAGGTAAGGATATAATGATATCAAATATACTTTATGAAAATCCTTTTTAAATATATTAATTGCCATTTTTATAAAATTGCTAAGTTAAAAATAATGATAAAAATTAACTCTTGAAAATAGACAATTTTCATAATTTGATCATTAATTCAATTTAAATAATAAATTAATTTACAATAGATGAATCCTTTGTTTATTTTTCGCAAGCAAAAGAGTTTTCTAACTCTTCAAAATTAGAAATTAGTGATCTTAATTTTATTGGAAATTTGTAATTATTTAAAAAATCTCAAAAATCTTTTTCACTTTTAACTATAAATTCAGAATAGAGTATTAAAGTTGTAGTAAATAGAATTACATTTTTGGAAAATAGTTTTCACTCATAAGCTGAAAGTATTTGGTAATCCTATGCTTCTTTAATTTTTTTAAATATTAAATCTAGTTAAGTTTAAATTACTAATTTATTATCTGAAAGAAATGCATTTACAAATTCATCCAATTCTTTTATTTTCATCAATTCAAAAACAATATTTATGTAAAATTTATAAATATCTAACCATAATATTTTAAGTTAGAAATTATGGGAAAAGTATTATAATGTAAAATTAGATTAAATCTTTAATTAATAATAAATTAATTTATTTGCTCTTTAAGCTTTAAATATAAAAAATATAGGAGGAGTTGCTTAGATAACAGCTACCATGTTTACATGTTTAAATTGCCAATTTTATAATATTTTAGCATCAAAGAGTGCAATTTTTGAAATAAAAACTGAAGATTTTGGAATAATAAATTTAACATTAATCAAGGCAAATAATATAATAAGTGACTTAAAATAAGTATATAATAGTTCAGGTTGTATAAGCATATATACAATTAACAGTCTTTTGGATATAACAATTTAATAATCTGAGTTTAAGAATGTGTTTAATAGAATGTCTTCATCTATTTTATCAATAAAACCATCTTCGATTAAAAATATAATTAATTTAATAGATATTCAGATTTATGATTGTTTATCTTTAATGAATCAAATACTTTTGGTTGAATTCTCCAATAAAATAATTGATTAAAATTAATTAAAAATACAAAATATTATGATAACTTAAAATTTGGATTCTTCGATCTTACTATTTTCATAAATGAGAAATTTAAGTTTGACAGAATTATTAGATATTTCAAGCAGTTAAAATTCATTATTTTATATTTAAGGTTGTTCAATGTAGATGATTAATGTTAGTGTTGTAGGTGTTTATTTATCACCAATTTTAAGTATAGTAAATGCACCAATAGTAAAATTAAAAAATCTGCATATGGAATAGCTATAAAGATTTTATTCTTTCAATTTTATTAATATAAATTAGATGATAGATATTGAATCAAAAGTATTAATAAATAAAGTAAGTATTTTAAATAGTTTTACTTATTAAGCAGGACTTCAAAAGATTATTATAGAGGAATTCAATTTTATACTTGATGGATGTGTTGTAATAACCAATTAATCTAATGTAACATTTGGAAATTAAAATATTTATTTTTTGAATGATATACTTTAAGAAATGGAAAAACATAAATAAACACCACTTTCTTTAATTTATATTAAAAGCCTATAAAATAAACATTCTTTTTATTTCAATCAATTATAAATTGTGGAAAATAATTGTATAAATTATATCAATGGGTTAATTTATTTTGATTTACTAACTTTTAATTATATCAAAATATAAGAATTAAATTGCTATTATAATGTTATTTAATAGTATGGTTGCTTAAAAATTGTGGATGAAAATTTACAATCTTAGCCGATTTAAGTAATAAGCTCCAATTTCATTTAAAATACTGGTAGTTAAGGAGTTGCTATTTCATCAAATAGTCCAATACTAATTTAAAATTGTAAAATAATTTCAAACACTGCTAGCGAAAAAGGAGGAGGCATTTATTTTAAACTGAGAAGTGACCAATTTAACTTCAAAAATTCTATTATTATTGGAAATAAAGCAAAAGAAGGTGGAGGGATATATTTTAGTGGTGACAGCAATTTAAATCAACATAATTTTATTTAAACTTATCTGCTCTATAATTATGCTTATGATTATGCTAATAATTTAGTTGAAAGTCCAACTCATTTAGCATTATTTATAAATTCTCTAGAAATATAAGGAAAATAATAAAAATTTCATAATATTTAAACGAATATTTTAACAATTTTTCCTTACATGACCATAGAACAAGAAATTAAAATTAAAACTGCATATTTAATGATTCCTAGTGGATCAACAATCTAAGGATACTCTCTTGTTATTCCAAAATAATCATCAAGTATTAGATAAATTTAGTAAATAGTATTACTCTATAAAAATAATTTAAATGAATTACAGAAAAATTTAGGTAATTCATCATGTATTATAACCGAAAATATTGTAAAGAAGAATGAATAAATTGATGTAAATCAATAACATGTTTAATTAAATTTTAATGCTGAAAAAAATCATTTTGATTTAAGTTCAATTTCTTTTACACTTGACCCTTATATACAGGATTATAAATATTTAGAAATTGATATTAATTGTTCTATTTTAGAATATAAAAATTCTTTAAAATATATCATCTAAGCAAAAAGTTATAAATTTTAACTTGGAGAATTCTATGTTGCTAATGGATGCTAATTATGTGAATCAAATAAAGGTTATTATTCTGTAACATATGATTCAAATAAATGTTCTATATTTGATAAAGAAAAATTTGAAGAGATATCCTCAAATCAAATTAAGTTATTGGAAGGATTTTGGAGACCAAATTATTTATCAGATTAATCTACTTAATGCTTTAAAATAACAAGATTTTGCTTAGGAGGATGGAATGTTGGAGATGCACTTTGTAGTGAAGGACATGTTGGTGCCTTGTGTGAAGAATGTGATATTTACAATGTTCAAGGAAATGGAAAATTCATTAAAAATTAATAAAATTCTGAATGCTTTCTCTGTTTTAGTACCCAAGATAGCATAATCCCTTTTATTTTAAACACACTTTGGTAAATAATATTAATGAACTTAGGGCTATACTTTCGATAATTCTTACTTTAAAAAGCATTGGAAAATCAAATAATCTTTTCTTATTCTATAAAATTTAAGGAAGTTTTAATTAAATTCTTTTTAAATTAAATCAAGGTATTCTATTTTACTATTTGTAGATTTTGAGGGTATTTTAATAAAAATGCTTTTAAATTATTTATGGATATTTTCAGTAATATTCTCATTGAATATTAATTTTTCCTTTTAATTCAATTTTGTTGATTAAGCCAGCAATTAATCTTATTCAATGGCTAATAATCTAGATTGTTATTTATCTGAAATAGCAAACGTTAAGTTAATCTATTCTAAAATTATCTTAATTTTGATATTAATATTATTGCAATTTGTTATCATAATTTTTGGTTTGATAATATTTTCAATATTTAATAATTAAAAATTTAAATTAGACAACATTTCCAATACTTTACTTTGTTTATATATTTTTAATTATGCTGGATTTATCAAAAAGTAATTATATAAATTAAAATTAGGTTATGTTCTGTTGTTTCATATAGAGAAATATCAAACATTTTATATATATCTGGAGATTTAACATTAGAATTTAATACAGATACTCATTATAAATGGATTATGAATTTTGTTCTTCCTGGATTGATAATTTTTGGCTTCTTAATTCCTTTTTTATTATTTTTATTAATGTACTTTAAAAGAAATGATTTAAATAATCATATATTCAGACCTCATATATGTTATCTGTATAATGAATATGAAAAATAAAGTTATTATTGGGAATAAATAAAATTAAGTAAAAGAGCTATAATGATACTCATTTTAACATATTTTGAGACTAATATACATTTAAAAGCATCATTAATAGGATTGAGTCTAATTATTTATTAATTGATAGCAATTAACAAAAAGCCTTATATTATGACAAAATTGAATAAATTTGACTTATCAACAGGTTAAATATGTTCAATTTCAATATTTTTATCTACGATTAAATATGAAAGTGAAAAGTTAAATAATAAAGCGATATCTTTAGCTCTTTAAATCTGTTTAATGATACTTTTTGTACTTATCACATTCCCATTTATTCATAATATACTATAGATTTATTACAAAAAATATAAACTATTAATATTGAAATATTTATTTTTACTTTTTTAATATTTTAGATTAAAATAAGCATCAAAGAAAATTGAATTTATTTTGAATGAAAAATAGTAAAAAGAATAAAGGATTAAAGATAATGACTTAAAACTAAAATAATTCCTTCTGATTATATCAAAAGCTTAATTAAAATATAGACCGTAATTATAATTTAAATATTATTAGTGCTTTTGAGTCTACTTTTAATTCAAGGAAAAAGTATCAACAAAAATATATAAGTTCATTAATGCAAGGTTAGTCCATCTTATTAACTGGATAAAGATTGTAGTGAATTTTAATAAATAAAATCAAAATTTAATAATTTCAATTATATTTTAATAAAGATTTCATAATAATAAATATAAAAAGACATAATTTATTTTTTTCATTAAAAATCATATAAGTCCAATTAATATTGTGTAAAATACTTATAATTATAATTTATAGGATTTAAGCTTCTATATTTTCAATTAAATGAACACAAAATATGATAATTCTCATATAATTTAATTATATTAGCCTCCAATTATGATTTGCAATCATTTCGCAAAAGCTTCCATTAATAAATCTTTTAGTTTATACTTTCAACAGTCCGCTTCAATTATTTCAACTAATCAAGATTATTCTTTCTTTTTCTTACTCATGTCTCTCTATACTCTAAATCATCAACATTGGCTTCAAATTGAAGATGAAATTAAATTGATATATACTTAGTAATCTCTTAATCTAGCTATCTAAAGTAAAGCATGTCATATTTATTGAATACATTATATAAATAATTGATCTTACTTTTTATTCTATTTTGCAACGAGATATATAAACTCATAAATTTTTGAGGTATCAATAAGAGCATCCTTAATCAGATGGATATTGGATAAAAGATACAGAAAGATCAGAACAATGTATTAATATGGAAGTTATTTGTGCAGAAAATGAAATAGTGTTTAAAGATAGAGATGTAACTTAGAACTGTGAACACTTGAAAAAAGTTTTAGCTAAATAAGAATGTGAAAGGAAGAATCTTCCAATCAGATTTGTTCTGGGTAATTAATGTTCTCTGATTAAAAAGACAAACTAATTATAAAATAAGAAGGGAATGCCAATGCTTGTATCAAAAGATCGATATACAGATATAGATCTAGTTTTAAGTGAAATATTAGATGATTCAACTGTAATAAGCAATTTTGATGATGATAAATAATATATAATAAGGGAATTTCCCATATTAAATCAAGACATTGATAGTAAATTATTCAAAGATAAGTAAATTGACAAATTTGTTTATACAGGTTACTATTCAGTAAAACTAGCAAGTTAGGGTAAAAATTAGAATAATTTATTTTCAAATTCTTTGTAGTAGTAGACTTACATGAAATATCTTAACAGCTTAAATCACAACTGAAGCATAAGATGATACTTCTAATGCAACTGAAGATAATTAAGTATCAAGAGCAGAAACTTAAGTAGGATTCTGTAGTGACTAATCTTGTTCAACTATGACTTGACCATTAATAAAATACGAAAAACAGGTGGAATTAGATGGTAATATAATTATTATTAGAAAATATTACAAATATTTTTGAATATTTAAATTTTTTTATAAAAATATTTTCCTAATTCACTTCTAACTAGTTAATGAGATATTAAAAATAAATTTTCTTAACTATACTTCATTAAATTCTTTTGAATATCTGAAGAATGCATTATTTCACTTACTAATAATAATCTTCATCCTATTATTCTTTTGGCTATCTTCATTTTATAAAGATCATATGCATGAACTTGAATATAGTTAATTAAAATTATTTTGAGAAAGTTTATTCAAATATTGGAATCGATTTTAAGATTGTAAAGTTAAAAATTAAGAATTCAAAACAATCAATAAATGATAAGTTAAGAAAACTTTAAAAACAAGTTTTATTAGCATACAAAAAAAGTCCTAAAAGGTAAGGAAATGATTTATCACTTGAGTATTTAATTTCACTTTACTAAATTAATTTGCTTGATTCTAAAGGTTTCACTTATAAATTATTTTTATTTCTGATTATTATAAATATATTTCCAATTAACTCTACTTTTGCCATTTAATTACACCCATCCATCTAATTCATAATATATTTTATTTCTTTTAAATTAATTATCCATTTTTATAATTGTAAACTAAAAAGTATTACTAATTGTTATTAATATTTTCTCTGTTCATTTTTATTCAGTAATTATCCTACCTATTTTATTTAATCTCTCTTTTCTATACTATTTTTTAATTACATGTATTAGCAATATGATTGATGATAAATAAGATTTTAGTAATTTTTATATTAGTATTTGCTTTAAATGTTGTTCAATTAATTAAAATATTAAAATATTAGACTTCATTTAATATACTTTTCAGCAAATTTAATATATATTTTTTTTGAGTATATGTTTCCTTCCTAGATAAGTATGAAGAATCAAAATATATAACTAAGTTTTAAATATATATATATATGGGTTAGGAAAATTAAAATATTACTGAATGTTATTAGTAAACTAAATAAATTAAATTTTCTATTATTATTATTCCAATTCTATTAAAACAGAAAAAATTTATATATTATTCGGAATAATAATTTTAATGTCTGAATAATAAATTCCATTTTGTTAACATAATGAAAAATTCATTGCCGTCTAATCTGCTGAAAAAGCAAAATTATGTCTAGAGTGTTTAGCTATAAAGGGGAAAGCTATTCTGATCGAAGATTAGATGAAAAATGTCTAGAACATGAAATCTTTATTTAATAAAGAAAAATAAGAGTAAGTCTAAAATAATATAGCCTCATTAGAAGAGTTAAAGACAAATATTAATTTACTCAAATAGTTTTATAATAATTAAATAGATTAGATTAATTAAGATGTGGAAAGTTGGAAAAGTTAGATTTAAGCTTCTGGGGATTCATTTATAGCAGAAGTTAATAAGCAAGAATAATATGATATGTAATAATTTTTAAGTTCTGTTTAATAATTATAAAATACTTAAATTAAGGATTTATCTTAATTTAAAATAAATATTAAAATTGTAAACATGTAATACAAATTTACAAAATATTCAATTTGTTTCTAATGTAGATGAAAAAAAAAAGATGGATTAGATGTAAGATAATTTAAAAGTGGTAAGATTTTATTTATTATTTTAGTAATTAAATATATTCTGTGAAAAACATACATAAAAGAGAATAAAAATACTAGATATGGGTTCAGTGAATAACAGTTCAAGGCGTTTAGCTTGTAGATTATGTTTGGATGAATACAATTCATAAAATTATAAAACAGTTGAACATGCTCATTCTTAATGGAATAAGATTGTATAAAAAAGGTAGGAGAGTATGTAAAGGAATTTACTAACAATATAAGATAAAGTTCAATAAATTAATAAAAACATGTAATCGATGTAAGAAAAATTTAAGATATCCTTTGATAAAAATTTGACGAAGTTAGACAATAATTATAATTAATATCAATAAAATGTAGAATAGAGTAAAAAAGAAATGAATCTTGAATGGTAAAATTTATCAAGAGAAGAAATACTAAAAATACTTGATGAAATAAATAAAATATAAAATTTATCAAATTCAGAAGATCCACTTTAAACTTAGTATACTAATTAAGATAAATTAGTTAATCAAATAGTGAAAGATAATTTTCTGTTTTTATAAGAATGTTAATTGGATCAAATTACAAAATTAAATCCATTTATATAGAATTAAATATTTGATGAAATTACTACATTATTTAAAAAAAAGAAACCAAACCCAAATCTTAATTAAATTGGGAAAATGGAATCAGAAGTATCCAAAAATAATTATTTAATTTAATAAGAAGAATAACCAATTAAAAAAATAAATAACACTAATTTCACATATAATTTAATGAAAGAAAGTTCAATCAAAGAAGAGCAATCATGTCGTGCTATGGCTTTCAATTAGGATTGTTCAATCATATTGGTTGGATGTAATCAATAAATATAAGTATTTGAGTTTAGATAGGGAATAATGAAATAAAATTAAATTCTAAAAGAACATGAAAATAATGTCATCACTTTAAATTTTATGAAAAAGTCTAATTAATTTATCTCTGGAAGTGAAGGAGATGGATTGATAATAATTTGGTAATTAAATTCAAATAATGAATGGATTTTATAATAAAGACTAAAAGAACACTCATAAGGTATAAGATGTTTAATATTGAATGAAAATGAAGATCTATTTGTATCTGGTGGTCTTGATAACAAAATTATATTTTGGGTCAAATAGAATTAATGGATTGTACAATAAATAATATAAAAATAATGTGTATATGCCCTAAGTCTAAATGAACAATAAAATAAATTGATCTCATGTGCTTAGGACAACTAAATATTAATTTTAGAATACCAAAAATAAAAGAAAAAGTGGAATATTAAACAGAAAATACCTGTCTAACAAAAAGGTATTAGAGTATGTTTCATAGATGATAATTTATTCACACTCTAAACATATTAAAATGATTTATTGGATGTATATGAAATGAAGAATGCCAATGAATATACTAAAACTAAAGGAATTTAAGTTATGCGTGGTTAAGAAGATGAAAGTCCTTTTTTTCCTTAACAATATATAAAATCAAGACGTTTGCTAGTAAATAAGAATTGTCAATATATAAATATAATAAAAAACAATGAAAATGGAGAATTTGTAACATAGTAATCTATTGAGTTTCAAAGCAGTAAGTTATATGGATCTATGAGTGATGATGCATAGTATCTTATAACTTGGGATGAAATATCAAAAGAAATACAAATTAGAAAATATTAAGAATTATGAACATATGAGAAGTTAATTCTTAAAAATATAAAAAAAATTTAAATATTATTTTTTCTCTAATTTTCTATAAACTGATTAATATTTAATTCTATCTGTTTATATAGCCTGAAATAGAGCTAACAATTTCTGTAAAATAGTGTTGTTCTTTTATTAAAATATTAATTATATAATTAAAAATTGAAGATTTGAATTATTAAATGAAATAATAAACATATAGAAGTATTAGAAATTTTTATAAAAATATATTTACATTTTAAAGATTTATATTAATCATTAAGTGGAGAATGATTGAAGATTAATTGAAATTAATATTACTAAAAGTAATTTTTAGGATTATTTGATTTTTAATAAGTGATATATAATAAAATAACAAATGATAATTTTGAAGTCTTCTTCTTTTATTACTATTGTATTTAACAAATAAATTTTACTTATGATAATTTGATAATGCAAGAATTAAAAAGATTAAAATTCTAATAAATATCTTCGAGAGCAAAGTAAATATACATAAATTCTTAAAAAATATCATTTTATTGGATTATGATATTAATATTAATCATTTTTATTTTCTAATTTATATTTATTTAGATTTAGCATCCCATGTGGCTAAGTATTCTGAATTATTTGATAAGGTTCCCCAAATATCTTATTCTTCAAAGCAAATACTCAATTCTCCAGTTAAAATATTATTTTATTCTCTCATAAAATAAATTGAATTATGATGCTTATTTAATAGTATTTAATATTTCTTATTATAAACAAGTGGAAACCAATATTAACAACTTTATTATTCACTTATCTTGAGTTATTAATGTAATAAAAATTCTTAATTGATATTCTATTAATAAAATGTTTTCAATATTCCATTTTCTTATTAGACTATAAATAAATTATTTATAATAAAACTAATTCTCCAACAGCGAGTATCTAATTAAATTATTTAAATATGTAACCATTACTTATTTTGTTACAATTTGCAAATAACTATTTTGTTATCATATTCTGAAGAAATCAAATAATCTTATTTCTCATTCATACTTAAACTAAGTATTTTAGTTTTATGAACAACTATTGAACCTTAAAGCATCCATAACATAGCATTATCTTCTTATTTACACCAATAATTTATTTTACAGTCATCTCCACCACTTATTAACATGGTTTCTTCTTAATTACTTATTAAACAATTAATGGAATCATCATGTTGTTATAAAATTTATCCTTAACTCCACTTTTTCTCTTCTTGTTAATAATTCCAAATTAAAATGGATTTATCATCACTTATAATAATCTAATTTGTAATATTATGGATTTAGATAGCAAATAATTTTGATGTATGACTTTCCAAAATTTAAAGTAATTTTAATTTTTTTTCAATAAATTCATAAATCTTTATTTTCTTTGAATCATGACATGTTACTAACAAAGTTTCATCTTTGTTAAATAGCATACACCAACAATCTTCTTTTTCTTCTATTTGCATAATTAAATCATATTAAAATTAAGTTTAAGATTCTACACTTTTTTAATTTAAGACTTTCTAAATTATAATATCAAATTATTTACACATTATATTCTTTTAGTAATTTCTTCATTTTATAAATTCTATTAGTTTTATTATTCAAAAATAACAATTTATTTCTAATTAAATTAATAAGATTACTTATGCTTCATCTATTGGTTTTGCATTATCAGATAATTGTTTTAGTGTTTTTGCAGTATTCTCAATTATAGGTATCAAAATTTAATCATTTAAAAAATTAATTATTTCATTGTCAATTTCAGCGAAATCATCCAAAATCATTTACTTTATTTATTAACTTGTATATTAATGAATTAATTTAGAGCATATTTAGATTACTTCATCTTTAGATAATGATTCACAATTCTTAATTTGATATTGTTATTTATATTATTCAACTTTTTTACTAATAATTACTTATAAGTATTAATTCAATTTTTCTTAAATTAAAGACTTCTTTTCAAGTAAATAAGATATTAATTTATCAACGGTTAAAATTGTAGAACTATGTTTATTACCATAAAATGAATTCAAATACTCCATCACATCATCAACATCTTTTACATATGTTTCCCATTTCTCAAAAACATTCTTCACAGGAATAAATTATATTTAGGAATTGAATTGACAATATAAACAACATAATCTATTAGATCTCTTACTATCTTTAGATAAATCAAGATAAATTATTTCAGTTTAATGTTCTTCACATATGATGCTTAAATGAGGAGTTTTCTATATTTTATTATTATTGCTTTAGATATAATTTTAGTATAGAATATTGAAATTCTACTTTTTTTTTATTTGAATCAGAATACATATAAACATACATGTGATTTAGTTTATTTTATTTTAAATTTCTCTTATACACTATTCAATGTTTTATCTTCATATTTTTCCTCATTTTTCATGATATTACGACAATTTTAGAGTTCATCATCTATAATTAATTAATCAATTAATTATTTAAATAATTAACTCTATTTAGAATAATCAAACTCTTATTCCATAATTCTGAGTTAATTTATCAATTCAGTAGGTGAAAGAACGAGAAGCTCTTTTAATTTTGTATCTAATTTACTAATAGATTATGTTGTATTTTCTAACATTTGATGAATATTCTCCAATAATTTATCACAAGTCTATTTTACTTTTGTTTAAATCATCTATATATCATTTTTTAATTCATTCAAAGCATTGTTAATAGTATTTACTTTAACAGCTTGATTTTCTTTAAATTCCTCTTTTATTTCCTCTATACATTAATAAGCGTCATTTAAGGTGAATACTTTACCTACTGGATTCACTTAATTCATTCTTTATTCTTTGTGTCATTTACTATGCTAAACAAACAGAGCACATTTGAGTAAAGTCTTATTGGCCATCTAAATTGAACTCAACTGCAATAAAAACTTATTTATGTTCATTACAAACTTCATTTTAATTCATTTATTAATTATATAATAACATATAACCTATTAATCAGAGATTATTGGATTTATATAATTCTTATAATTTAATAGAAAATATAAGTATTCTAAAACTAATTGTATTTATAATTCAATATGATTGAATTCTAACAATTATATCTAATTCAAAATACTCTAAAATTACCTTATCAATTAATTATACCTTAAATCATTCTATATATAAATGATTGTTACCAAATATTGTAGTAATTCTGTAAATATTTGATTATACAATTAAATGTGTTAAATTATTAGAATCATAATGGAATTTATGAATAATGAATATATAAATGAAAATTAAAAATTGTGAGTGAAAAAAGAGGAGTAATTTTTATATATTTGTATTTCTTATATTTTTATATAATCAAAAAGAACAAAAGATAAAAAAAATACTAATATATTTCAAAAAGTCATTGTAATTGAGTTGTTTATAATTTATAAAAGGCATCTACCTTTATAAGATGCATCCATTAATTCCCTGTATTTCCATTCACATTTAGTATTCTGAATCCTTTGACTAATTAATCAGGAAATGTTAATGTAATTATACTGTAAGCAGTACCATCATAGATCTAAATTTCATGATCTTAATTTATTAAGAAAACCTTAACACTGTAAACTCTATAATCTTCATCCCTAAACCATAGCTTTAAAGTATTTAATTCAAAGTTATGAATTAAATCTAAAGTAATTGAATATCCAAGCGAACTAAAAGTATAACCTAAAAATTGATAAATTTCATTTTGTAAGCAACTACCATTTCTTCCTCCATAGAAAGAATTTTAATTTTTTGAAGAAATTAGTGATCCTGTATTTACATTTAATGCACTCTTATAGTTTCCTCTAATTATTGATATTATTTCAGCTTTCTTTATAAAACAATCTTATTGCCAAGATATCAAAGTATTTATATAAAGAAGCATTAAAATGATTAAATACTTTTAAGTCATATAAAGTTTTAATAATAATTTAATTATTATTTTATGAAAGTCTTTGAAATCAAAAAAAATAAAAAAGCAATAAAAAAATAAAATAGCTAATTTAGTTGATCTTAGAATTCCAGAAAATCTATTTTTCTTATCGAAAAGTATATCAAATTATCCTATTTGATTTTAAGAATACATTTTTTTAATTTTAATTATAGAATTCGATAATGATCAATTAATTCTATCCTGATTTTAAATAAATATCAATAATATCTATATTTCTTAGAATACTATATAATTATGAAGTCTTCCATATATGATGTTAATTTTCGATTGCAGTAACATATTCATGATTTATTATTCGATAAAAAATTATTTCTGTCTAAATTATTTTATGATAATTTTTAAATGATGAGAGAGATAGCGATATTATGAAATATGATATAGAAATTCATTAAATTGTTATGTAAAAATGAATTAATTAACTTTATAAGAAACTAATTAATTATTGTTGTATATTTCAAACCATGATTTTAGTTCTCAAAGTTTTTTTAATTCCAGATTTTAATGAATTCAGTAACCAAAAGAATTTAAATATTTTATGGAAGATCTTACTTATATTTAGAGAAGACATAATATATATTTATGGGAAGTTATTGAGGTATAAACTTAGGTCTTAGGATATATTTAATATCTAAAAATTTAAACAAAATTCTATTTTTAAATAATTTTTATGTTTATAAAACAATAATATAATAAAGTAAATTATCAATTAATAACTTTGAGTTCTAATTCAAGATTCGATCTTTTAAATAATTATTTATTTCTTTATTTTAATTTAAATATTTCAATTGATTTTAATTCAGTCTTTATAATTTAATACTTTATTTCATGAATTCTTATTAAAAAAAATCTGTTACTTCTCTTCTTTTATTTAATACTTTAGAATATTAATTACAATACTAATTTTGATCTTACAGATTATTTTGAGAACTTTTATTTTTATAATCAAAAATGTGTAGTTATTATTAATTGATTTCAATTAAATGATTATAAAATATTTTTATCTATTAAAATCTTTATTTTAACCCTGAATCACTTTTCATTCATAAAAGGGTCATTTTATTGCATTTATTTATTTGCAATATTTAAATAATTCTACTAATCAAAGTTTATCAAAACAGGTTCAAATGTTTAAGGTTTCCAATCAGATGGTTACTGAAGTGGTTATATGTAATCAGGTGGAACCAAATATAACATTATTATCTAGAACTATATGACAGGGTTTGCTGAACAACAAATACAACCTTATAAATATGAATGTAAGCTACCTTAAAATTTTGGAATAACCTTTAGATAATATTATTGATTCAAAAGTGTACCATTAGTTGTAGGAGTTAATACAAGTTAAGGTCTTTTTTGATTCATCAGAATTAATTAAATAATTCTGCTTTCAGAGCCAACTTGTTTAGATCTAGCCTAAATTCCTGGAATTCTTTATGTTAATATTTTTTAGGTATTTTTATGTGTATTAGCATCAGCTTTTAATATCAACTACTTTATTAATTCAATCTCAAAATATTCAATATTCAAATTGCAATTCGAATTATCTATCTCCATAGTCAATAAAGCAGTGTCTCCTTGCAGATAATGATTCTTATCACAGAAACATTTTAGTCTTGAAGTCTTAAAATTATACTAATATAAATACTCCTTTATTAAAACAACAACAAGCATAAATATTAGAGGTTCTTTCCAACTGCTAACCAATCACTTCTTATTTGATTGGTTCTCTAACCAAGAATTCCTATTTGCTTCTCATACTTGGTTTATTTTGTTATGTTGATGTAAATTTTGTTTTCACTTTGTAGGTTATAGAACCATTTTCATGAATATTTTTATAGTCAAATGAACCAGGAATATTTGGATGTAATTAAAATTGAAAAGGAAAAACATATTATCCAATTTAGGCAATCTGATTTTAGAATCTGTAAATTGGAACTGATTAAGAATAGAATTTGTTTTTCCCTCTATAAGTTATTTAATCATCACCTCTTCCCTCCTCCCATTCAGTTTTCTCTTTTCCTACTATTGTAAATTGAAGGATATTTCCTTAATAACCTTCTTTGCAAATGTTCAAATAGATATTACCTAAGTTTATATAAATTATTCACCTTTAGCCAAGTCGCCTGCAAAATAAAATGGTTTATCTGTTCTTATTGCTATCTCTCCAAATTCAGATTTTCTATAAGCTAAATGCATAAATTTTAAATGATATTATTATTTAACTATAATTACACCCTTAATACGTAAATATTCCTATGACATTAATCAACAAAGAATAAAATTGTATAAATATATAATTTATATTTCAAATTATCATTATAAAAACCTTTAATATTTCTACTTTTTTTTGAATTGAATTTTGTTTAATTTGTGTAAATCTTAAACAACCGATCGAAATTCCATTTTCTCACTTTTTGTTACTATTATAAAAAGTAAAAGAAACTATAATCTATTACGATATACTTGAAAGGAGAGCATAAGTTTATATTAACAAATTCTTAAACACTTTTTGGTTTACTCACTATTTTTCAATTTGAAAATATTTGAATTTTTGTATCGAATCTCTTCCTCAAAGATACTTCAAATCTATGTTATAAAATTTAAAGATTCTATTTTCTTCAAAGCCTCAACCTATTGAATTTAAAGTTTCATCCAAAAAAAATTATAGAAGGTATGTTAAGATATATCAAAAAATTTGTTATTCTTATTTTCTGTTATTTCAACATTTCTATACAATTATTACGTTTAAAATCATTTAAATTACTTATTCAACAAATAATATTTAATTTAATCCTTTAATGAATAATTTTTCATTATACCTAAGTTTTTCTTCTTATTTTTATTTCCAAATATTTCTTTTAATGAATTGTGTATCCATCAAAACATATTTTCAAGTTTGTTTCAATTATTTATTATTCAAAAATTTAACAAATAAGAGATTACTCTAACATAAAGTATAATCAGATTTTTTAATATATGAAATATTGAAAGGTAATGAATAAAGTAAATTTTTATTCTTATAACTTTGCAACATATTATTTATCAGCTTACGTATTGTTTATTACCAAAGATATTGCTGCTATCTGTTCTTCAATTTATAAATTTTATGGATTTACTGCAAACAATATTAGTATTTCATTTAGAATTTTACTCTTTTATAATATTTATTCACATTTTTTTCATCAATTGCATTATCAAGGGTAGCATTGATAATTTAAAAAGCATCTTGAATAATTGGTATTGATGACAGCGCATCAGATCCAATGATGTTAGAAATTTTATAAACTTTATTTAACACAGAAGTTTCTTGATTTCAGATTAATTAAAACTCTATAATGAGTTTAAGGCTTTAAAAAAATTACAAGGATATGGAATAATTGATTTATAAAATAAGGATTATTATCGATATTTAAAGTATAGGTTGGGATTGACAATTTATAATATGGATAATAATTCATATGAAGGTGTGGATTATACTAAATGGTTACAAGAAAAGTAGAGCATCAATTTTATTGGAGAAAAAAAATTTAACCTCAAATCAAGAAAAGAGTTTAACCAAACATTATATAATCAAGTAGTAGATACAAGTTATCTATCAATCAAGTAGTGTGATAGAGTAAGTGAAAAAAATTTTAGAAGAAATAAATGATCATAGTCTAAAAATAAATAACCATCTTTTGGAATCCTTAAAAAGGATATAATGATGACTCCTCCAGTTCCAATGTTTGACTCAAAATTGGAGAATCTTTCAAAACCTAGGACAGTGCCCATAAAAGGTAAGATTTCTCTGTCATGTCAGATGAAATAGTAAAAGGTTTGTGAGATTATGCATATCTCTTTTTGCTTTAGTAAAAATTGTGATTTACTCTCAGCTGATGTTAGTAAATAGAAAATTTTAACCTTTAAATTTAATAAGCTAGAAGACTAGATTCTCTCTAATGAAGTAAGGGGTCAAATTTACATAGCTCTAGGCATTAGATGTTCCAATGATAGAAAACCTTGTTAGGAGAGCCAGATGGATTTATAGTGTTAAAGTATTTCTGCCATAGATTCCAGCATAGTAGAAATTGACTCAAGGGTAAGTCAAAAAACCTAAAAGAAATAAATCCTCAATTGAGATTGTGAGAATGCCTCATATTTTAAATAATGTTAAATTTTATTTGTTTTAATTATTATGATTCTCCTAAGAAAGGAACTTCGATCAACCTAGCTAAAGTGTACAAGATAATTATTGTTTTGGTTTTAGCCTAGGATGGGAATTTGATTCTGGTTTTATTCCTTTAATTCTCCCTTTATTTATATTAGAATTTGACCTTAGCCATTTAAATTGATTTAATTTGGTCACTTAATATAAACAGCAGATGGTTTAAATTGGTTTTTCATTAACAATTGACAATTAATAATTGATGGACATAAATAATAGAGATTTTGTGATTTCCGCCTACTAAATACTTAATCTTACTCCTTGTATGATAAAATAGAGATTTCGAATTTTATTACTGATAATCTGTACAAAATTAAGACTAATAATAAAAGGATTTATTAATTCTTTAAAATTAGGGATTTAAATTAAAAAGTAGCAGTTATTTTTGTAAAATGCCATTAATATAGTATAATGAATCTTTTATTCAAAGGTTTTATATAGTCATTTTGAATCCACAGTAAGTATGAAAGGTATTATGAAGATTATATTTTTAAACAAAATGATTTTTTAAATAAACATTTACAATTTAGGTTTTATTCGATTGTTTTTCATAGATTATATTTATGTTCATTAATTAGCTGTCCACATTTATAAGTTAGATGAATGATAGGATTGAAGCCGAATATTAAAAAGAAATAAAGATTAAATTTCCATGAATGTTTATAAAAATATCCCGAGCACCTTCTAAGTGTACTAAATTAGTTCTAAGAGGTTCTTTTGTTTTATAAAGTTTATATCATGAACCAGTGAGATGGATTACCCTAAGAATTCTCATTCCTATATGGGATGTATCTAACTCCGCTCCTTTCACAGCTAGCTTAGATTAAATGATTATTAATCAAGGATCCTTAGGTCTAACAATTATTAGTGAGCAAGAAATTTACTAATATCACGATTCTAGGTTAGAGCTACCAAGTCCAATGGCCTATCTAAAGAAATCAATTTGCTGTAGTTCTTGTTCCCTTATGAGATCATAAGCGAGGAAAGGTACCCCAATTAGCTGCTCTGTTAGCCTTCTTAGTCAGAAATTTAACCTATGGAGCTACTAGATCCTTGACTATTATTGGGTTTGATTAAAAAAAATTTATTAAAGTGAGATGAATACTTATATTAATCAAATTATATCCAATTTTAATTCCTAAGACTAATTTTTATTAGATGTATTGTCTAGGAAATAAGTTCATTATAAATATTTCAGAAAGTTGTTCTTATATCTAACATCAAAATATGAAAAATGATATTTTTGAGGGAATTCATATTCCTAAATAACATAATTATTATCTTAAATGTATTTTCTTTAATTTACAAAAAAATTATATAGAAATATCATTGTGAAAGCAATTTTTCTATAGAGTTATTTTTTAAATTTAATTGCTAAATTATTCTATTAATAATTTATTATTAAAAAATCTTGAATTATTTTGATGATATCAGAGGATAATTTTTATTTTGGCTGATTTTCTGGTATCTATTATATATTAATATAATAAATAAAGACATTTAATTAATTTCTGTTTAATTATCTATATATTAAATATCAATTTA